TCTATGGACTTTTTGGGGTACTGGGGTTTTTCGCCGTTTTACGGATGCACGCAATTTGTAACCTGGGCATGTTGGGTATCGTTTTACTCGTTGTAACCTCATCTTTTATATTTCATTAAAAAAATGGGTCTTTTGTTGTGTTTTGGGGCATTTAATTAAATTTTTCACTAAATATTGGGGTTTAATAAGGAGTTGCGTTAATATTGCGCAACATAAAAATTTGCAACTACCACCATTTTATTCTATAGGGTCTTGGCATTCAGAAAATATATAATGTTGGGGGGTTTTAAGTAATTTTCAGGCCTAAAATGTGGAATATAACATGGGTACAAAAAATGAAAAAAAGGCCTCAGTCATGAAGGGGTTAAGGACCCCCAATGATTAGTTATGAGACAGATAAGGATAACAGTAATGATTTATACGGAGTGCGCTTTAATCTGATTGTATAATCTGTATGTTGCAGCAAAAATGTTTCCATTTTTCATATTGCCAGGTTTGGTGATCCAATGGTTGAAGTACACTGAGTGGCCAGATTATTATGACCACCCCATCAGTACTTCACGCATATCTTCAGAAAAAAAAATCAATCACTTCTACTGTCGTGGTAAACAACCTGCTTTCCTATTTATAATGGTCTGGCCCTCTAGCATCTTCAGCACGAAATTATAGCTAATTTGCCTAAAAACGTCAGGTGGTCATAATAATCTGGCCACTCAGTGTAGTGTGGCCTGCTGCTGCTGTATCCCATCCAAAAAAAGAACATTTTATTCTCCTTGTAGCCACTTAAGGTCACATTTCTTACACAACAATATTCACAAAACAACACATGTACTGCATACACACAGAATGCTAATATATCCAACTATGTTGACAAAGAACTATATGTTTTTGTATTAAATATTTCAAACCTTTTTTTTTTTTGCCTTCTTTCAATATTCAAAGTGTACCTAACAATAAACATATATAATTTGCCTTTTTGGGGGCTGGTAAATATACCATTAAAAGCATCTTTGGTTTATCTGTTCAAGTGCAGAAAAATACCTGTTGATCTTGTCATCTCAAGCCCTTACAGTACTTATCTTGAACTTCAAAACAATTACTCCCTATATGGTGGAGATGGGGAACGTTTAGCAAAAGACAACTGAGTGGGGATGACACTATTCATAGCGATTTTAGTCCATATAAAAAGACACGTGTTTTCAGTCCAGAGCAGGAAGTTGGGAGCGCATTTCTGACAGAGCAACAGGTATTTTTTGGTTCTTGCAAGGGCTTTAAAGAGATAAATCATAGGGAAATGTGAATGTATTGCAGAGATGTACTGCAACAAGTATGTCATTTGTAGTTTGCTTTATCCTACACTTAAAATCAATTCTGTCAGAACAGAAATATGAAAGTTCTCAGTCTTAAATTGGTTTTGAAGGTGCAAGCTCCAAGGACTGCATCCTTATCATTATCATCAACCTAGTAGAAACATGCAAGACAGGTCCTGACACTTTTATGGCTGAATGCAACACCTTGCTAAAGCCCTAGCTCTTTCTTAATACTGGATCCCAATTACTACAAGGATAAAAAAATAAATACATTAAAAATAAATAAATATTATATGTACACAAAAGATCTTTCCTTGTTACTAAAAGGTCACATAAAAATATTTTCTCATATAGTACAAAACAGTTACTTACACGTTGTTTCTCTACCTCAGGAGGAGTGGCTGGAGTGAACAGCCCCATGATTGCAGCAAGGAAGCCCTGATCAACCTTTAAAGCCATACACTGGATCAGAACCATAAAGTACCTACAAAGAAGAGAAACAGCTGACCGTAAATAATTGTTAATTACAATTTAATTAACATACATATTATGTAAATTATTTTTAAAGCCTAACTATAATATATTGCATCTTATGATTCCTTAACTATGGTGGCTGAATTTGTTTGCTTTTCTCCTTTATTTTCACTAGGTGATGTGGCCACTACAATTCTTCCTGTCTTAGGTGGCTCCACTCTATGGAGGAGCAATGCAGCCCCCTCGTGGACAGTAGCATTGTCAACTTGTGGAGACATGACTTATAAATTAAAGCTGAACTCCAACTAACCCTTTTTAAGCAGTTACAGTAACAGTTTTTCCTGGCCATATCCATGGCAGCGCTGACAAATGGGTTTAGATCCAATTACCCCTAGCATTTTCTTTGTAACTAAGGTTTTTACATAAATGAAAAAGAGCCAACTATTGTACGCACTCCTGTCAGTGTTAAATGATTCGTCTCAACCATCTATCTGCCACTTTTGCTGGACAACTTGGTTTATTAAAAGAAGTTGAAGAATAACAAACTTACTAGCTTGATTACCAGGTCAAATTAAAGAATAAAAAAATTAAATCAACGCAGCCACCACATTTAATGATTGGTAAGTTGCAATATATTACATTTTTGCTTTTAGATTTAGATACGCTTGAAGTGCAGTTCCATTTAGATGTTCAAACAGTTTAGAACAAAGAATAAAAACTATTTTAAAAGAGAACTTTGGGGTAACCTTTATATCCCATAGTTCCCTTTAGGGTCACGGGAGGACATATACTAACCTCCTCCCGTGACCCAAAACTCACTATATAGTGGGCAATTGCCTGCTATATACTGAGAGCACTGCAGCCGAGATTGACAGCGGGCTCTGCATATCTAGAGGCTGAGCCAGCTGTGCCCGCCCCCTCCCCCGTCCGTTTCTCCACTCTGCACTGGAGGATCAGAGAGGGGAGGTGGGGAATCCTTGCGGGGAGTGGAGACCGACAGTCAATGCTCTCTGCAGGGAGATGATCGGAAAGTGAACGAGTGACAGTCTCATTGTCACAGGTCGGCTCTAACTATGAGGATGAGTGTAAATCACTCACCTCATTGTTCTCCTTTAATAAAGCTTATAAATCAAATAAACATATTTATTCAACAAGCCATGACAGAGAGCACCAATGACTGTTTTGGTGTCAAAAACATTTTCAGAGGAGGATACTGTTGAAAAAAGTTTGGTGCATCTACTGGAGCATGAAAAATATGGCATGCCTGCTAGTATTGATCTGTGTATGCTTGCTGTAACTGTGACCATATTGAATTTTTAGTTACTTTCATCTTCTGTACTCCCTGGATAATGCTAAACTCACATGGACTAAAAAAAAAGATATCCAATTTCATGGAAGTTGTAGCATTATAAGCAAGTGACTTTATTACATTCTAATAGAGTATATATATATATTTTTTAATATTAGGGATGTTCAAATACCAAGTACTGTACTTGGTACAAGTACGGATACTTTTCCAGCTCCAAGCTTAGACTAGAGAAGTCGCGCAGGGCGCAGCTGTCATTTTTAGACTAGGTTCACACCTGCACTACCCCGCAGACACCCGTGATGCGCGTCCTGGGATCGCCTGGTCAGGTACAACGCAGGCAGCGATTGCCGCGCAGCACCATTGATTTCAATGGGGTGACATCCGCGCGGCGTGTTATACACGACGCACGGCTGTTTTAGCCGTAATGGTGTTCGGAAGCACAGGCGGAATCGCTGCGGGAAACCGTGCAATCCGCCCGGCACAACAAAATAATGGCACCCACAGCGCGATCAATTTACACCTTGGCGATTCCTGACTGCTCGGCAATCCGCCTGGAATCGTGCACGTTTGCCACGCAGTGAGGTGTTGCCTAGGTGTGAACCTAGCCTGAAGGAGCATACGGAGCTCCTGCGATTTGTGCATCCCTATTTTAATGTATGATTTATTTTTCTAAAACAATACAGACTAATGATTTCAGGACGGTGGTGGAGTGCCAGAGTTAGGTCCCAGCTGCAGCTGCTGCAAGCCTGGTCGTTCTTGTGAAAATGCCAAGTTTTGGCACTGGTATCTGAACTGATATATGAACATGGCAGGTAAAAATGTCTACGTGTATCCAGGATGGCAGATGTGACTGTCCCAGGTTCAGGCTCTATACTAACTTTTTTTCACTACGGGGAAGTGCTGGTGTGGTAGAGGTAGTGAGGCCAGCTGAAGGAAGCTGGCTCATTAGGGCCTCTATAAGAACTCCCAGCCTGGTAAGGGAGTTGCTCCACTCTGGAACCAGTTTCTGCGCCTGAATAGACTGGGGAGCTTTGAACATGCCTGTGTGGTGGAAAAATCCAAATGTGTGGTAAGATACAGCCTGTGTGGCAGTTTGTTCAGTATGGGGCAGCACAAGGTTTCACCTAGCTGATAGTCAGGGAAACTGTGTGCACTAAGTCACCAAGAGGCAAGGATTTATTTTCATGTTTTCTTTTGTTTTGCTGATTTTCATTGTAAATAGTGTAAATAAACCACATGTGTTTTCACCAGAAAAATCATTGCTTGCTGTGCCTGTTTACTGTGTGGGGAACTCATCCAGGGAGTCACACACACACACCTTCAAGCTAACACCCTCACAATGCGTATAATGAATTTTGTGGCTGGCATATTTAAATGCCTAAAAGTCGCATTAGCAGCCTTCAGGAACTCCCTCTGGGAGCCCCAAAACCCGGGGTGCTCCATTATGCAAATATCAACTTATTCTAAGATCTTCGCACTTTGCCCCTCAACCTCGTACATTCCAGGACTTGTCTTTGACCATTTAATGTGATGTACAGCCTCAGTGAGCAATAGTGAGGTGCAGGGGGAGGACAAAGTAAAGCCTTCCTAGATGAAGTTCATGTGTGCTTAACCAAGCCCTTTATTTTCAGACATCCCAGGGTAATCTTTGCAGCCCCTATAGATGTCTTCTGTTTCATAAAGACTCATTTTGTTAAGTGAGTGAGTGCAGACACTCTTTGAAGAATTCTTCCTGAATTATCTGGAGTCTCGTTCATAAAATCAATTATTTTATACCTTAAACAATATAACCCACTTACTTAAACTGCATGACTTTGCTGAATTCATTAAACCTGCTAATAATGCTAACATCAATGAAAGGCCTGGGTTCTAGAAGAGACAAAAATAATTGGTTACAAAGTATAAACACCAAAAAGTCATGGAATTAGTTTTCCTTATATTAGCAAGTCTTTTATAACTGCATGAACTGCTTAATCCAGGGGTCAGAAAGTACCGACCTGCGAAGTACCATGAGGCCCGCAGCCGGCTGAGTTAGGCACGCAGTCACGGACTGCGTACTTGACTTGTGGGAACAGCTACACAATCTGCATCTCTATCGAATGCAGACCGCATAGCTGCTCCTGGCAGTGCAAGCACCCACTAGTTCCGTTCTGCCGGCGCTCTCAACAGCTCTGAGTGCCAGCCAAAAGGAAGGATTAGTAAGGTCTGCACCAGTCAAAGGTGCAGACCTTACTAATGAACCACCAGGGAATGTGCCTCCTCCCAGCAAAAAATTTAAGCAGGTGAGGGGTCTCTTTTGATTTATTTTATGTGCGTGTATTATTGTGTGTGGGAGGTGAGTATTTGTGTGTGTGTGGGAGGTGAGTATTTGTGTGGGAGGGGTGTATTTGTGTGTGTTGGAGGGGTGTATTTATGTGTGTGTGTGTATTTATGTGCGTAAGTGAATGTGTGTGAATCTGTTGGTCCTCTGATTAATATTGAAACCTGGGGGGAAAAAACCCCCAAAAAACACACACAGTATACTGACACTGCACACATATACACATACTGATATGGCGCACACACACACAAACTATCACAAAAAATATATATATTATAAACGCACGCGAACATTAACGTTGGTACCGTATAGGGCTGCAGCTAACGATTATTTTCATAATCGATTAGTTGGCCGATTATTAAGTTCGATTAATTGGTTAATCGGATAAAAAAAAAGGCTCCAGTGATGGACTACTAGTTTCTATTGAGATTGTAGTCCATCACAGGAGCAAGCTTGGCACGGTGGAAGTAAAAAAAAGTGTGGTGTGCAATATAGTACATTATACAGCGGCGCAATGCAGAATACCAGCAGCTATAGAGGAATGCAGCAATCGTACATTATACTATAATGACCGTATATAGTTAAATTTTGCTCTGAAGTATGAAACGTTATGGAATTTGGCAGGCAGCCCCCATGGTAGAAGAAAATGTGTCCAGAGGCCACCAAGTGAACTGAGTTTGTGCAGACTCCTGGCTTAATCCATTGTAGCGCATTCTCAGTTTCTTAAAAAAACAAACTCATCAATATATTTATTTAGGAATATGATGAAACTTAATATTCAGGAGACTTCCTAGGAACACACATTTAAAACTGTGCTGTATAAAAGTCACAAACTATGAATGCCTAGTAAACTCCCAAGGTGTTGGACTCAATCACATTGAGTCTAATTTAACCCATACATTTTAAGGGTATTTAAAAAAAATAATGGTTGCATTACAGTATGACTAATCCATAAGAGAAAGCATAAAAATATGAATAAAAATTAATTAGACAAATAAGATCTTTACCGGAGTCCAGGGCGATGGATTTTGGAGGTGCTACTGGATGGAAGACTGCAGGGAACATTGAACCAGGAAGCTGGTTATCCACCTAACAAAACAAACGCAACAGTAAGTTCTATAAATTCACGATATCATAGCAACTTGTCCAACACTTCCTATCAACCAAGTAAATCTGTAAATTAAAGTCTTTATTAAATAACAGTGGAAGGAGAAATGTCAACTAGTTTTTACTCGTTTAGCTTAGTCAGGCTAATAAAATATGTCCTGTTTGCTATAGTTCACAGTTGAAAATTAAGCCATCAGTTACTGTACTACATGTATAGTTCCTGATCTTGAAGAACTGGATAACATGTTTCAACATACAGTATGTTGTGTGGTATGTGTGCAATTTTGTATGCTGCATTCAATTTGCCTTATCAGACAATCCCACATGGTGAAGGGTTGAAAAATAACTAAATTTGTACACGTTTACGTGACACAATTACTTCCCTTTTATAATATATGGTGTATGCTACTGGAACAGTCCATATAATTAAGCTGCACAAATTAATATTTACAAAACCAATGAAATATTAAAAATAAATAGAAGCCAGAAATTGCTTTTGAATAATACCAACAACTGATGTACACTTAACAATGACAACCAGATTTGTGTTTAATTTAGAATAGGTAGAAAAAGAAAAATGGCAACATTGTGTCTGGCTTCACTTAAAATACATGGAGGGAATTTATCAAAACTGGAGCAGAAAACTCTGGAGCAGTTGCCCATGGCAACCAATCAGCATCTCTCTTCAGTTTGCTTAGGTAAGATTTGAAAATGAGACAGAGAAGCTGATTGGCAGTGCAAATCTGCTCCAGATTTTGTCTGCTCCAGCGTTGATAAATTCTTCCCAAAGTGTTTTGGGAAGATGTCTGCTTCCTTTGTTCCAGAACAAATAGGTAAAACCAAATCCTTTGAGTGCTTCAGTATTATCTCAAACATTTTTAAAAACCATAATAGAGTTCTCCTACTCATAAGGGGCGCTTAAAAGGAGAACTATGAGGTAAGTGATTTTCACTCAACCTCATAGTTCGAGCCGACGTGTGACAATGAACCTGTCACACGTTGGCTCAGTAGATCGCGGGAAATGAGCGAACACATACCGTCACTCGCTCACTTCTCGATCCTGTCCCTGCAGAGAGCCGTGATTCCCCCTCCCCTGTCCGATCCTCCAGCACTGACTGGAGGATCGAACGAGGGAGGGGGCGGGTACAGCTGGCTCTGCCTCTAGATAGGCCGAGCCAGCTGTCAATCACGCAGCTGGGTGGATCTCGACAATAATGTCGGATCCGTCCCGGCTGCGGCGGTCTCAGTATACCGTTAGCTGTAGCTCGCGGTATACTGAGCGTTGGGTCATGGGAGGATGCTAGTTTATGTCCTCCTGTGACCCTGAGGAGAACTATGGGGAAAAACACTGACCCCATAGTTCTCCTTTAACAATGGAAATTGTGTATTTTCACTAACCATCAATTTGCACAAACACTTTTCATTGAAAATCCTTATTTTAGAGGAATTTTGTTACTTTTTTTATCCTGTTTCTTGGTAAGCTATTGTATGAAATCTGGTACCTGCAGCCAGTATAGTTGGGCTCGTAAACTTCTTTGGTGTGGAGATTGCTTGAATTCCACATGAATTCCAGAAAGGAAACTTCTCCTTATCTTGCAAATCAATGGCAAACGCATTTCCATGGAGTTGAAACTGACCTAATGATGCATGAAAAATAGTAGTAAACTAGAGGAAGAATATCATTTAAACATTGTGCTTTAGTAACTTTACACACACCTCAAAATTATTGTCGATTTTAGTCCATTTGCTACTCCCTCCTGCCAAGTGTTTCTCATATGCTTGTTCAAGCTGTAGGATATGTTTCTGGCTAAAGGGTTTCCACTTCTGTTTTGGTATCAACTCCCAGATGATGCCTGAACTGCAAACCAAAGACAATGCAGACAATTTACAGTTAAGTAATACACTCATTTTTTTCTCTATGTTTACAGATTAAGTTGCACTAAAATTATCACTATAAAAAAACAGGATAAAAATAAGTATGGATTTTTTTTTAAACATTTATCGCTAATGTTTATTAGGGCTTTGGTGAAAAATAGTAGTGATTATGACATAGTCTAACAGTGTTAACGGAATATTATTGTAAAATTAACATATTTCTAGCATCCTAATAATAAACCTTGACTCGTTTCTGTTATTTTTGCTGCTTCTGTAGCAGTTGTTAATGCTTATGATGTCGAGTTGCTAGCTCCGTTCCCAACTGCCGAGACTTTGCCATACAGACTTAAGGCAGGCCATTCTGAAATCTAAGTATAAAAGGACAGTAAGGCCAATATGGGAACTGGGGAACAAATTTAATGCAGATAGTGTTTTCAGTGATGGCAAAAGAACTCGGGTATACCAAGCAAGAATGCTAACAACTCAGCCAGCATGCTAACCCCTAATAATTAAAGAATAAAATAATTCAAAGTGTTAAATGCTTTTAGAAAACACCATCACAGCATCATGTATTATGTTATGTGTTGTTTTTCTATTAACGGGTTGATAAATTTATGTTTTCATACAAGTAAAAAAATAAATAATACAGTTTAATCCCGCATGACAGTATTATTCTTTAAAAAGTATTCAAGATTTTTGATTTAACGAAAATTCTGACGACAACCATGAATCTTGCTAATGGTAAAAAGACTGGAAGGTGAGCAGCAGTGAAAGCTCTTTAAAGTCCATTTCCACCTTTGCAAGTGATTCATATTTATTGTGGTATTGAAGCGGCACAGTGATGATGTATACATGTGCACATTTTCATGACTCACATTTTAGGCTTTCCTCACTTTTTTAATGAACCTTTTATTAGTCCTCAAGCCTACAAATTCTAAATTGTCTCCACAGGAAAAAGTCAGTCGGGGTCTGATGGTAATGAGGCTTTAAGCAGCTCCACCTCCTCCCTGTTATTCATTGTAACATGATCAGTGAACAGCAGCTCTGCCTTTACAGACAATACACTGTCAAGGGGGGGCGGGGGGGATGTGGCTGCCACTCTGAATACTAATGAATGGGAGAGGTGAGAAAGAGCTTGCAAAACACAGGCAGACATTTTTACATAAGGAGATGAAGAGGAGAGCTAACAAAAAAGTAAGTTTGTGGGCTCTTACACAGCAGCAGCATATGACTGTTTCATGTACATTCGGTGTACATTGCCGGCATATGTTTTTTTTTTTTTTAAATACCTCTGCAAAGGTGGAAATGATTATGTTCAAGAACAGTTTTCTACATTGTTACATTTACCATTCAGTTGTTTAGTAAACCATTATTTTCTTATTATTTATCAAATTAATTTTTGGGTAGAAGCAGCCTCCAAGAATTAACATAGTTACCTTGTAATTCCTATGTAAGAAATTTCTTGCTTGCTCTCATTATTGATCAGAGAAAGCCCCAAGCTATGGATAGAAATGTTTATTTCTTGATCTGGCTGTTCCAGTTCCTCAGCTTGACGTGCTTTGCTCACCAAAGCCACATCTTCTGTAAACAGCAGTATCCTTTGGCGTCCATCAAGGAATGATACCCAGTGTATCTGAGTATCTTGGTTAAAAGCAAATTGACCACTTTCATCCTGAAAAGTAAAAAAGTGGCTCTGAATGGCATTATCAAGTACATTTTAACTAGTTTATATAATCTACTAAACCACAAAAGTAGAACGCCAGTCAAAACTCTTTATTTCCAGTTTCATAGAGGGGAAGGGTTAGATCCTCTGTCAATTTTTTACCGTTATTTATATACCGGGCAATATTTCTCTTCACCACCTATCCTGGTAAACACACAGAAATAATAAAACATCTGCCCAACAAGGACACACACAGCCATAAAAACCTGGCACTGTATTTAAAACCCCAAAAAATAACTTAAGTTCGACTTAGGTTGTAGGTTAACTTATTACATGTAGGAAAACAACAATTTAAAACTGTAGGCCTTCCCATGTGCTTTTAAAACAATAAAAAAGTTTACGCTGGGCTTTCACTTTAATTTGGAGGCCAATTAGGTAACAGGACTGGGGGGATGTAATCTTTAAATGGAAAGTTGGTGGGACGGGAAGCCCTTTCATTACCACTCTTGCCTGTTTGTTCACTATAGCCCTGAGTATAGAGCTTCATGTTGGAGCTTGCATAGAGCTAAGGGACCTGCTAGTTAAAACCTGGCAGTTGGCTGCTAAGGCCAGTGCACTGCACAGTGGGGGGGGAAGGGGAAAAGGGTCACATGGTCTATAGCCAGGAATAGAGAGTATTTCCAAAGACTCCAGGTGGCAAATGGGGCAAACAGAGTTTAGAGAAGAAAAGTATAAGAAGCACAGAAGGTGGTCTATAAAGAGCACCTGTTGCTTTTCCCTGAACATTCAAAGTGATAGATTTACTTAAAGTAAACTTAACTTAACCTCCCTGGCGGTATTCCCGAGTCTGGTTCGGGGTTAATTTTCAGTACCATAAGTGGTAACCCCGAGCCACACTCGGGATTACACTATAGCGTTATTCACCTTGTCCCTCGAGCCGCGCTGTGTCCTCCAGCCGGCATCAGTCTTCCGGGTTCCGTCCCTTGCGAGCGTCCGTGTCGCAGGGGGCAAAACCGATGGGAATTTAAAGAAAAAAATAACGAAAGAGAAAAAAAGAACAAAAAAAGGAAAAAGAAAAAAAAAGAAATAATCAGACCGCCAGGGAGGTTAAGGAAGCCTAAAGAAAACTGCGCCGATTAATTAAATTATACAGACTACTTTTGTGTCATCATAGGTATATTAGAATTATTGTAGATTTTCCAAAGGCAATGATGGCAGCAATATGTTAAGCTCTTCACAGTACCTAGATTGTATCTAGGTGTCTATTTACAGAATTAACATAAACCTGCTAACCTTTAACAAGTCTAGCTCGCCCTTGGTTTGGCTATATGTCCATGTCAGCTTTTTCGTTCCTGTTGGATCTTCCCATGCAAACAATCTTGCTTCTCCTGGGTTAAGCTCCTTCTCGTCTTCTGTACCACTGCATGATTAATATTATCTTAACAAACAGCTTTTTAAGATGTAAAAACAGAAGCAAATGTACTCAAAAGGACTGAAATCACTGTAATTGTTTCATGAACAGCCCTACCTCTGGCCATATGTCAGCTTAGAGCGAGGTGTATGGTTCATGATCAGAGCAGGTGCAGCTCCTTCATAGTAATCTGAGAACCTAATCACTATTGAGTGATCGGAAATGCTGACATCTACCATAAGTCCTGTATTCTGTAAATAAGGGCAAGCCATTGTTAACATGAGTGGTATAGTGACTGAATTACACACAGACTTTATCTTTAATATTAATGACCTCAACTCACCATCTTCTCCAGGCTGAGCAATGTGCCATTGTCCTGCTTATTAAAAAAGAAAGGTTTGGATACTCCATCACAGCCAATGACTCTGACAGACATCTTTCCAGAGACATTATCTGGCCAGAATGGTACACACTGCAAAATGAAGAAAATGTACTGTCACTGTAGTTCTCAACTGAAGGGTTTCTGACCAATATTAATTAAAAGAACTGTCTGAACTGGGGTCCAGAAAATCTAAATGTATAGTAAAAGATGTCTGCTGTATGCATTATAAAATTATACATTAGTCCAATATAATACAAATTATAAATACATATTAAAAAAAAAAAAATCACTGTACCTCAGATGAACCAATGTAATTCCACTTGAAGTCTGGCAAAGAACCATCTGCTTCAATCTCCCCCACCTCAAGCTCTAGTGTGCAGTTGTTCACAAGAGTGTAGAATGGTGTCAAAGTAACAATCCTTGTTAGGTTAAAGCTGCTCATTTTAATGTTCACTCCAACCTTAACAATAAGGAACACAAAAAAAGTGAATGTAAGGAGAGTGTGCCTACTGATTAACTCTATACAACATTAATTCATTGGAAACTGGTACATGAATTTGGTCCACACTTTGCCATTTGCGGTGGAGAGGCACAGTAGCGGAGTTGTTTTGCGTGTCGGTGGGTGGTTGTTGGAACAGTGTCAGCTGCACTGTTGACAGTGTCCTTAACAACCAGTGATGCTGACCGCCCAATGTTAATTGTTGTTGAGGATGCTGTGGGCTACACGGATGTCTTTTGTAACGTGTGACGCTGACAGTGGGCGGAGTAAGACAGGATGCCGAGGGGCTAGTCCTGCATCAAGTCTGCTCTGCTAGTGATTAACAGCAGGCAGTGGGTAGATTCCATAGCCAATGCCCTCACTGCCAATCATCAGGGGAGTGGACCAGATGGGGAACTAGTCCCTCAGATTCTCCATTAGGCTCTGCCCACTGTCAGCATCATTAGTTGCTAGAAGACTATCAGCCATGGGGGGTAGTACAGGCAAACATGTCTCTACACCAGTTTAGTTTTAGTCCTAATTACATCCAGTTTTGGTAGCTAAAACTGTAAGGTAAATATATTTTTAATTTAGTGCTACTTTTCTAAAAGTGGCACTATTAAGAACTACTTGAATCTATGGCAAGTGTCAGTAAAGTTACCGAAACTGGTCGACAGGACTTTTATGAATTTGGTGCAGAAACTTTTAAAGATTCATACTGCTGGAAAAGTGGCACAAAGTCTTTGCTGAATTCTCCCTACTGTTCTATAAATCAGATTAATATGAATAATTAAACATACTAATACAGTAAGTATGCAGAAAAGAATAGACCAAGAGAATTTTCTTGGTCTTCATATTAAAAACTCACCAAATACTCAATTTTGTTACCAGGGCATTTAACACATCCATAACTTCCAACTGTGTCTAAAGAAAATCCAGATGACCAGGAACTTGTGGAAATACACAGCTGGATCTATTTCAGAAGTAAATAGCAAGATTAATGTTATTAGAATCAACAATAAAAGGGATCATTACGATACCAGAAATTGCCCCCCCAGCTTTTAGCCCCTCTGTTTAATGACACAAAATGTAGTTCAGTTGATTAATTGGTATGAATAATGTTTTGTCTTGAACAGACCCTTTAAAATAGGATAAGGGAAATAACTTTAACTTCTAAAATACATTTTAGAATAAACCCTACATAGTATATCATTTACAAAAGTGTTTTTTTCAGTCCTAAACAAAAGAGCCAGTAACTACTGTACATACATATCACATACACTTATAAATGGCAGTACCTTGTTCTTGCTGAATAAGTTCTTTTTCTTGTATGAGAAAAGTATGACATCTCTGTAATCTGATGGGTGCTTGACGTGAATGTCCTCTGCTCGGTATTGCAGGATACGAGATGTCTTATTGATGATCCAGTAAGGACTGAACACCGAAAGCACCATGCGGTTCCCCACACGTTTCACATGTATAGAAAGGTCCACAGTCATAACTTCAGCAGTCTCTGCCGTGAAACACACAGGAAAAAACTCAGGAAGATTTCCATGGACTCTGAAATGTCCATTCCAATTCCTGCCTTGGTACTTGATCAAGTCAAGTTCCATAATTTCACCACTGATACGTGAATGCAAGACATCACAGGAGCTTCCTTCTGGCAGTATGTGGCCATCTGCAGTTCCCTGTAACAGAATATTATCAATGAATACTTCCATTTGTAAGTACATTATCAGTACATCATCACCTTGTTTTACCTTCTTGAACCATTGCATTATTTTGTTCCTCCTTTTTCCTAATCTTAAATATGTGCCTTAGAGAAATAGGATTTTTGCTACTATGTAAAATCTATTTCTCCAGTAGTTCAATGGAGAAATGTATAAATGAGCCCCTAGCCAAAATGTCTATTAGATATCTTTACAGCAAGGAAACAGGCTGCAAATAAATCTGAAAGAGAATCTAAGGCTAATAATGCATGAATCAGCCCAAATTTGAACCATAAGTATCGTAGCTGCTGGCTGAACAAAGAAAATAGAACAGATTACTCCATCAATGCTTATAAGCGTTCATCGAGGACTCTCCTGCTGTATTCTGGCACTGGCCACTGTCTGCCGTCAGAATATCCGAACAGAGATGGCAGTTCATCGACTGCTAGCTCTGTTCAGCGGAAAATATTCCCACATGCTTATTCGATCAGCTGATTGAGGGATGTCGTTTGGAAAGGTGCCAATAGCGGCACCCACACATAGAATTTCGGCTGGTTCATCAAGAACCGGCTGCAATTGAAGCTTGTATACCCGGCTTAAGGTGCTTCCTCTTCATACACTTACGAGGCTTGAGGGTGCCTAAATAAAATGTATTAAATAGGGTGAGTAATTATCTTGTTCTAATTCCTTTGAGCAACAGAGCTAGGCCTGATATATTGCCTTACATTAACATGTTTCAGGCCCAGATGTATGATTTATAACTATACATTAAAATAAACTCACACTACCTTTGTCTTAACAAAACAATCTTAATTAGAACTCCTTGAACATACGCCCTAACTATTGATTATTATTTGTGTTCTTTGTTTTCATATATATTTTACTACTTCCTTATGCACCAACACTGTTACATGTTTATGCCTCGGAGGTCCTAGCCTTTTGAATGCCTTCGATAACATGCACATGTATTTTGATTTTCTCAAACAATATATTGTAAAATAAACATTGAAATGAATACCACTCCTTGTAGTATTACATATGACTCCATAAAGTATGCTTGGAAAAAGATGCGAGAGGTACGTGTAAAGTGTTAATTATACCTCACTTGGTGTCTTTTCCAAGGTACAGATATCTATAACCCTGATGGGAGTGCCGTGGTTGCTTTAGCTGACTGCCTTCAGCCCCTGCCCATTATCTGAACTGAATTAGTTGCAGCACTAGATCTGTGTAAATCACTAAATACATTTAAATAATGTGCAGGGACCAGAAGCAATCAGTTGACATGTCGGAACTATTCAGCTCTAAAAGAAAGAAATTGTAAGGTCTGAACTTATCTCTATATAATGTAACATGGGCAAACTGGAAGCCATTTTGTTCTTTCTAGTCTATAAGTATATAAGGTGAATTTGAGTTCATGGTTTCAAGATAAAAGAGTCTAACATCAACCATTCTCAGACCCTAAAGCAGAGATTCCCAGGTTCTAAATTTTGGGGAGTCTAGTCACACCAGACAGACAATCACAAGATAACAACTTAGATCAGGGGTCCTCAAACTTTTTAAACATGGGGCCAGTTCACTGTCCCTCAGACATTGCTGGGGGCCGGATCATAGTTTGAAAAAACAGGGGCGGGAGGGCGTGGCTGTGGTGCCGCACCGCCACGCCCACTCCCAGAACAAATGGGGAACGTTAGTGAGCAATTGCTGTGCGTTCCAGCAGCTGCTGCTCTGGTGTAAATAAGCCCTTACTTAGAGGGTATATATAAATATTTTTAACAACTTCTTTAATAAACAAAACATTTTTTTAATACAATTCATTTCTCTTAGCCTGGAACATGTGCTGGCATGATTTCCTATTATTTTCTACAGCTCAAGTATTTGTTATTTATTACAATAATTGGGCATGTCGACTGCCCGGTCTTACCTCTCTACAGCGGCATGCAGCTTTGGGAGAGGCAGGGAGATGACATCACTTCATATCCCAGTTCTCTTCTTTTAGGCCGCCCTACAAGAGCCTGTGCTCGCGTGCACACAAAGTTGGAGGGGCGCAGCCGCACTGGCGTTACGCTGCTAAAGGAAGCCTGGCATTTGGTTTGCCTCGGCATGTGCCCTGAGATGAAAGGGCGCAGGCCGAACACAGAAGCTGCCAAGCTTCCGGAACAGCCTGTGTCTTCCCTGACACCCAGACGGGGCCGGCGGTTTAGTACTGCAATACAGTACTAAACTTATTTTCAAAGCTTGCACTTTGAGGTAAATAAATTGATTTTGCGTCCCAGTTTGGGCACTCGGGTTCAAAAAGGTTCGCCATCACTGACATAGTATATTGTATTATTGTTACAAACAATTCAATGCTATTATTATTGTTGCATAAGATATCTAAATACTTGCCTAATTAAATTAGTTTTGAACTCTGTCCAAAATTGACCAAAGCTGTATTACTGTCTGACACCAAACCATTTCCAGTGGTAAAGTTTTCGCTTTGCATTTATCTGTAAGCAATTTGTGCTAGCCATATAGATCATTAAACAATTTAGTAATTAATTAGCTAGTCCTGTGCTTATAAATCTACCATACTAGTTTAGGCACAGTAAGGACTTTGAGCTTTGAATATCTGTTTTGCTGGAATAGGTCACATGTTAAATCTGCACATTCTTTTGGCACATCCTGATAAACTACTGAAAGTGTTACTAGCTGCATTTTAAGAGATACATAGTTGTTTTATTCATATTTGGAACTATATCTTGTGTCTGTGAAGAGGCCATTTAGTTAAAAATGGAGAAGACAAGCTAAACACCTTCTAACTCCAATTTTGCAAATGCAGTCAACACCTGGTTGCGATCAACAGATTATGTGGATTGGAGCAACATTCACCATATTTATTCCCAGAAATTTTTTATTTTCTTATTATTTTACTTGCTAAGTAATTCACATTGCATATTTTGAATCTTATTATTTATTGTCTCCAATAATATTTTGATTATTATATTTTTACATATTATTGTTTTTATTTCATCTTCAAATTAGCACATACAAAGAACTTAGGTTATCAGTTAATTTATGTAGTGAATCTCCTTAATTTCAGATCCCTGCCTGTTTTTATAAATTAAATACTGGTTTGTGTCAGAGCAAACGGTCTGACAGACGGTATGCTTGTAGAGAAATCTGTATTTTTGTTATGGTGTGGAAGGATAAAGGAGAGCAAACAGAGTTTGTTGTCTACTTACCTCTAGAAGATATTTCAAGGAATAAGGCAGAAGGTTCCTGATAGTCAGTGATGGATAGAGATGAATAATGTAGGCAGGATCCCAATCCTTCTCACCATTACTGGTGATAAAGTCGATTTCATCAGGAACAGCAGTACAGTTCACTATGAATGGCAGGAAATTTATCTCTGTCGCTGGACACTGAAGGGTGCATTGTACCTCACTGCTCCTGTGGAGCATTTCCTTCCACATTATGTAACTAGTGGACTCTTTAAATTGCCCATCTAAAACACCCGATGGCTTCAAGAAGAGCTGACGCCTAACAATGTTACAAAAGTGGACAGAAAAATAAAAAGATGCAAAAGCTTATTAAGGGCAAGATACATTCTCCAAAAAAGGTATAAAGATAAATAAATATTTTAATATTGCACAGAGTTATACAACAGTCTGAAACTAATCAAGCGAAGCTTGAAGAAAGGTCGGCCGAAGCCAGCCGATCTCCACGCAAATGACAGCTTGGTGGAGCCAGCCGTGATCTCATGGCTCGCTCCTCCCAGTTATAATGAAAGATCAGCGTCCCCAAATGACCTGGGGATGCTGATCTGTCATTAAACAACAACTCGGAAGAGCCGGTCGTGACATCACGGCCTGCTCCGCACAGTTATTTATTGCCCGAAACCTGCTAGCTCTGTCCAATTGTTTCTATTTTGCCGGCATCTGTCAGATTTGACATCATTATGCGGGGGAGTTCGTCTTTTAAAAAAAAATTATATTCAAATATTTTTTTTTTTTTTTAATTGTACTATTTTGTTTACATTTTTCAAATAATTTTTCAACATTTTTTTTCCATTTATTTAACCTTTTTTTTCTATTCAACTCACTACCTCTGAGGTACTGAGCAGAATAACCGAGCGGCATTCGGCTAGTCACTCACTGCCGTGAGAAAAGGGGCGAACGGCAGAAAGTGAGCTGCCGGAGCTGATCCAGATGTTGGATCGGTTGAGTCTAATTTTTCCTACACTTTGGCTCAGCCGTACATCTGCTGCCTGACCGAAGGCAGCCGATGTACGGCTGATTTTAGCTGATGTACCGCTGAAATCAGCCGTACAAGGCTTAAGTGAATAGCCGAACAGCGTTCAGCTCACTTCACGTCGGCTTGGTTATTCACTCAGCTGCCTTCGGCAGCTAAGTAAATAGCCCCCTAGATAGAGAAAAACATGTAGTACTTGCATGGCTCTTCCTATTATGCGCATCACTAAAGAAAAGGCCAAGTTAAGCAAAATAATTTTAACTTGACAGTAGATTCCTACTGACAATCTGCTACTAGATGTTGCAAAGAGAAATCAGATCTCCACAAAAACAAAAAAAAACTGAAGTAAAAAGAGGTTGAAGACCAACATCTAAAATTAAATTTAACCAATCAGAAACAGTTTAACATGCTCTAACTCGAGCTTCTACAAAGTCATCTATCACTTCTGGTTAGTTCTCCCAGTCTGCCTTTATTTTGGTTTATGGATTTAAAATGTGCACACCTTATTATAAACCTGAACATTTGTGCAACTAGCATATGAAAAATTAAAAAACAGTCAAGACCACAGCCATACAACTCAATAACTCAGAAAAGGAAGAAAATTATTAGAACGGACCAAATGTTTAAAAATTCCTCTACTGATGGAGTAAAAAAAAAAGTACCTGTATGAATGCAGGGGTACATGAAACTCTTCATCTGGTTTACATATACCAACTGGCTCCAGTAGCTTGGCATTTGCAACAAACTTATACACAGTAAATGGCACTGAGAAATGGTTCTTGATCTGAAATTACACATTTGTTATTATCACATTAATTCTAATCTAGGTTAAAAATACCAAAACTCCATGGTCTCACACAATAAGAAAATGCACCAATAAATATGTAAGTGTGCAAAAATTCAATTGATACCAACATTTTCTAATCTCTCAAATCTACTGAAGCTACTAAAGTAGAATTTACTAAAGAATAATACTAATAAAACAGATATATTCAAATTTCATAGAATACAAATTCTTATAACATTATTAACATCAAAGAATGTAAAACGCCATTCACCTGCAGAGGAGATCTAACAAAAAGTACTTTGTTCCCCTCACTGGTATCGATTTGGATGACAACAGAAACACAATTCTCCTCTAGGGGACTTCGCACATTATAAAGACGTCGAGCTGGCTTTGTGACTGGGATGTTTGACACCTCTGTATATCCTTGAGGCACTAGCAGAATAAGTGAATGACAACCAGTAAGAATCTAGAAATATGGGCTTTACTCAAACTCTATTTCCACTGATCTAAAATCTTATTTGTACAGAAGTAGGAGTAAGAAAAGCAGTGTGTGATGTAATATTTTGCAATAAGATTGCAGGGATTACCTATGCCAAGCGTAAAGAGGCTACTTTCTTGCCGATGCAGGGCCGACAATCTACCACGATGCAAAGGCTCCACACAGGAAAATTCGAGCTCCAGTGACTGTCCTTGGTTCACATTGTGCACAGGATTGTGTGTTGATGAGCCGAACTGCCGTAGGTTTGGGCCATGCTGTAGTGTAAGAGGTACACCTAGTGCATTTATGATGATCAAAGGGGCTTTGTCCTTCAAAGAATAGTCAAATGTCGAAGCAGTTCCTTCAGAAAAAGTCTAGAGAAGAGAACAAGACCTCATACATAAAGTGTCAGCCCCTTCAGCAGAATTCAAAATCCCTAAAACCAATTTCTTTAACTATGTGAAAGACACATACTGCAAAATATAGAAAAAAAAAATCCCATTAACAATATTCTCTCCCTAGGCACAGAAAGCAGTGGGCAGGTGCAATAGCCAGCCTGCTATTGAAATGTGAAATGGCCAATAGCAGGATGGCTATTGCACCAGCCCACAACCTGCGGAATCTTGCCACCGGCAGCTGTCATTCCCTGGCTGAAGCTATTCAAGCGCCATGTGCTTACAACACAATTATTTCAAAATAAATACATTATAAAATGTGGGGAAAAAAAGTCATTTTTGGTTCCAGCCTGCCAAATTCTGCTGCAGGAGGTGCATTGCAGTGCCATTAATTTCAATGGCACCCCAAACGCGCCTCCCGCATAGTGTGAATGCCTGCCCTGGAACGTGTTCAAAAAATATTCTGAGGTAAACTTTGTTTGTAACACTGCATTTGTGTATTTTATTTTAAATTAAGGATGGTATTTATTTAATTATTATCCGATTAATCAAAAAAAATTAATCGGCCAACGAAAAGATTATGAAAATAATTATTAATCGCAGCCCTAGTCACAAGAAAAGGATTTTACAGTGAGTACATAAATACTATTTTCCTTCTCATCCATTAAGGGATACAGGATGTCATTAACTGTTGGGATGTCCAAAAAGGTGGAGTTCGAGGCTATGAAATAATGAAAAAGACTTCCAGGGATGAGATTTCCCAGACTGAGCATTAAGCCTCTCAGGCTGGAGGAGATGGGTGCTCTTGTATATGGAGTCCTAATGATGGTATCCAAAGTAAACCCAAACAGGTGTTGTCCCTACACGACCTTGCGAACACCTTAAGTGTTCTCTGTGTTTGGACTGACAAAGGCTCATGTGGGAAATGAGAGGGGAAATGAGACAGGAAACCTCCAGCGCGTGTCAACACTGTAGTTCAAGCTACAGCCAACTGTTTAAAATGTTCTCTAACCAAGGGATCAGTTGTCATAATGATCAGACATCTCCTTATAGCCTTAGACCAGTTATTCTGCATTTGATAGCTTAAGATAACCGTTAAAACAGGGCCCTGCAGAGCCAGCACTGAATCCTGAAGAGGGGCTTTAAAGACACGAGCATCCTTCACCAGAATGGTAGACACTTTGTTAAGAAAGGACACTGTGGGATCCACAGAGTGGTGCAGATCACTATTTAACAAAGCCCTCCACAAATGGATAGAAGGCTAATAAGTGCTTTAGAGTTCCAGTACAAATATCTCCAGTCTCCATAAAGGAAGACTTGAAATAGTGGGTGCACCCGGAAGGTCTTAGCAGCTCTCAAATGTCCAAGACAGCAATGGTAGAAGCAACAGGCTTATCCTCTAGCTTTAAGGTGGTATGTATCGCATCAATGAGAGACAAAATAGTCTCCTTCAAATTAAGAGCGTTAGCAGAAGATGGCGACTCCTCAGTCCGATTGATTCGGTAAGGACTGGAGAGACTCGGCATTAGAGTCTCAGCAGCTGATGGCTTGGAGGCCACTAAACCTGTAGGCAGAGCAGATATAGAATCTGCAGGGGAAGGAGCAGAAGCACACTTTTAGCCTTCAGTGCATGAAGAGTCCGCATACAACTGTGTAATTAAACCATATAGTCATGGATGACTGTAGTAAAACCTTAGTAGACAGAGCAGAGGTGGTGGCCACGCCTGAGAGAGCTAAAGAGGACTCCAAAAGATGGCACAGACTTGGGGACAGGGGTGTCAAACTCAATTTAATCGAGGGCCGCATCAAAATTATGGTTGCCCTCAAAGGGCCTGTAAGACTATATAAATGTATGTAATCTTTATCATAATTGCCTCTGCATTCGATTATCACTGGTTTTAGTAATAACTTAATACCTAGATCTGAAAGTATAAGTCTGGGAAATGGCTTGGTGGGCCGGATTCGGCCCCTGGGTCTTGAGTTTGACACATGTGCTCTAGGGCATGAGGATTCCAGGCTGCAGACATAAGTTGCATCAGTATGTATGCTGCAAGTAGCACTTGCTGGGCATACACAGTACACCAGGACTGTAGAATCAGACATGTTGCACCACAAGGCAACATAGCTCAGGGTACACTGCAACATAGCTCAGGGTACAGGGCAACATAGCTCAGGGTACAAGGCAACATAGCCCAGGGTACAAGGCAACATAGCCCAGGGTACAAGGCAAGGTCTCATGTACTCACAAACCTAACTGCTGGTATCAGGTGGCTGGAGGTGATCAAGTCACTGTAGGTTGGAGGCAGAAAAAGACCGGGGATGGAAGTCCCTTGTGGCTACTTACAAAGCAGGAGTGGCAGAAATCTGTAAAATGCTCTGATAGAAAGTCTTATTTAGGCCATAGTCCTAGTGCTATTATGCGGGTGAAATATCTGAAAAGATAGAGCTTGGAGGGCTTAACATTGCCCCAGTTAGCCGTATGTAGAGACTGACCCAGTTTTATGTTATACAGGAGATATATTATACACCTAAAAAGCTACAAAATGCTAAATTATTATTTTTATATTTTATTATACTCAGTCACCCTAAATGTTATGCACTTTATTTAATACAGAAAGTTTACACTATTTTAAAAGGCCATAGCTTAACATTTGATATGGACATGCCATAATATAAAATATGAACTTGACATTCACACAATAATATTTATAGCATGTAAAACACGTGATTATCTCCAAATATAAAATTCAAACAAGCATGACTAAATACAATGATGTGTTACTAACAAATTCTAAGGTAAGTCTCTGAACAAAGAAAATGTCTATCTAAGTTTGATGCAATGTGGAATCTACGGCTAACACTGCATTAATGAAAACACATGAGTAATAAAGGTTCTACATGAGTAAAAAACCATAAAGACTATGAATGCTTGGTGTGTGCTTTCAACTCCTGCTGCACACCCCAGACATCAGGTCTGAAAGCATGCACTTTTTGGGCCATGCCATACAACTGATTTACTAAGAAATATATGGTTGGGATCCCCACCCCAAAATTTTGAGTATTTTCACTTACCTTTGACAAGTTACTGAACACCCCCAGAGTACATTTAGAGACAGTGATGTTCATGGTATCCTTAGAAGTAATGTTAATAGCGGACTGAGGCTCAGGGATCATGACGAAATCGTCTCCTGGCAGAAGACTTTTGTTGTGGACAGGATTGTTGTTAATCTTCAAGCACAAAAAAAGATACTGCATTGTTTTTACTCTGGAGGCCATACTTGCAGTTTATACATATTAGCAAAACATATACGGTAAAAATCTTAACCAGACTTAAAAAAGAAACAGACAAATCATACAGCTCAGCAGTATTAGAATAAACTTCTATACATTGCTCTAGTTGTATTATGATTCAGTAGCCTCTAACCTCAAGCTTTAGACTCCAGCGCCGTTCTCCATTGTCAACTCGTTCAATCAAGGGTTCCCACACGGCATACATTTCATTGTAGTAGTGAACCTGTAAAGGTGTATAGCATAAAAACAGTTGGAATACAATGCAAATATTGTATGTTTATGGGATATTTTCATGAACAGATGTTTATAATCTCGTTTCTCTATCAAAGATGAATTATGAGTCAATATTTGGAACTTTTTAGGTGTCATCAACAAAACAATACACACAATAATGTTCAAATCTTATAATGATTATAATGATCAAAATTCTATTTACACATTTCTGTAAGTAATCCTGAATATTAACACATAATTAATCTTGTATACAACTAAGGCCTTGTTCACGCCAAAAGCGTGTGCGTTCCAGAGCGGTAGCTGCCCTAAAAAAATAGGACTTGCTCTATTTTTTGCGTTTGCAGTGGAACGGAACGCTGGCAAAGTTTTGCCACGCGTACGATCACACTGCGGGCGGGGGGCGTGGAAGCGGTGCCATTGAATTCGATGCACCGCCACGCCCCCTCCCCCCCCAAAACGCGGGGGGAAGTTTCTCAGCGATCGCGGTGCCTTCTAGCAGCTACCGCTCTGGAACGCACGCTTTCGGTGTGAACAAGCCCTTAAGGGATGTTGGTGTCAGGAGACATGAAACAGGGAACACAGATATTATACTATATATTCTCTATCAAAGATGATAGCAAAACCTAACCAAAGAAACCTTCAACTGTGCTAACAATTACGGTAAATCTTTTAGCTACTGGAAGGTTTAACTGCTTATTCACAATAACCACAATCTAAAAATCTATTGATTTCCTCATGGAGAAAATGAGTGTACTGCCAAAAAGTAGTTAAACCTCTCAGTAGTACACACTGCAGATCGCAGAGTCCCCGATCTTCTTCCTGCAGAGAGCGGTGACAGTCAGTCACCACTCCCTGCAGGGATTTATTTCTAGAGAGGCAGAGGTAGCTCTCAATCAGGAGGCGGGGTGGATCGCGACAATATTGTCAGGATCAGTTTCGGCTGCAGTGAAGCCCTGCGCTGTAAGCATATAGCGGACAATAGTACTAACACATTAGTAATTGTCCTCCTGTGACCCTAAAGGGAACTATAACCAAATAGGGTTGGGCCATAGTTCTCCATTAATTGCCAATGTAACCCTAGCCTTCTACCGTCCTCTGTACTTATAATTCGGTTGTTAGATTGATTTAATTGTGACTAAAGTTACACATTCATTTGATCAAGAACAAGGTGTTGTAGTGGCCACTAAAAAAAATGTTGGTAAATACCCTACAGCCTCATTCACTTTTGGTACTACTACATCAAAACATTAGGAATTTACCATCTACAAAATGTACAGTTATAATTGTTATATAAAATATAGTAGTAGAAATTAGTCTCCATAACAGAAATGGATAATTATCATAATACCTCTAATGTGGTGTCAGCAGTCACATTCATAAGTGATGTCCAATTCTTTACAGTTCCAGTAAATGTAGATTCCACCAAAAGCAAAGGCACAGTACGGTGACCCAGACCACATTCAAGTGTCACCTGCACAGAGTTTACTTTAACACTAAAGGTCTCTAGTTTGTTTGGGCATTCTGTGTTCTGAAAGCATTCTGTAATTTCATCAGCTGACTCGACCCCCAAGAACCAGTTATTGCAGCTCTCTGTTGTTCTTATGCCCCAAATGTTCTTGTGTTCAACTAAATCCTCTTTGCCTACATCCTCCTTGGGCTTTGGTTTCAAAACAGCCATGATGGTCAGTACAGTATTGAGGATAATGGGTGAGATCTGGGAGAAAAGTAGAACATATGATTATTCTTTTTCTAATTAGTGGCATTCCCATCAATGTAGGAATGGCTAGCAGAGTCCATTTAATTGCACTGCCAATGTGTTATTTAATTCTGGCAATGGTAATTTACCTTTATAACGACTTCTTCTAAAAGAAGAGTAGCATCCTGGCTACCAGTTTCATCTGTTATGCTTTCCAACTGCAAGGAACATGGCTGTACAACCTATGTGATCAAAATGTTTCCAATGTTACAAGTAAGTTACTGAGGGATGATGATGTACATAAGAATACATTTCAACTTTAAACGTTACAACAAATTCCATCTGAACAGAACTGAACAGCAAAGCAACAGAAATACACCCTTATGCTGAGGAGAAACATCTGAAAATGAAAATGCCAATTAAAAAACATTTTTAGACCTCTAGCACATCAATTGTTCAGTTTAATAACTTTTGTAAATGTTTTGCTTGAATGTGCTGCAAATAGAATATTTTTGTTTCAGTCCAAATCATAATTACAATTAAAATTAAGATAATTTTTAAAAACTATTTGGCATCTACATTATGACTTTTTTTTATTGTTCCTTTGCCTTTAGAACAAGAATAAAGCATAAAGATGATTATTCACATAAAAACTACATATTATAGATTATATAATCACCATCATCATTTTAAGAACTGAAAAGCACACATACAATTTAACAATATAATATGTGTGACAATGTAGCATTCATTCAATGAAGAAGAAAGGAAAATAAAATGAAAGGTTGCTTAAAAAGTAAAAGAACAGAGCAAAAGAAGAACAATAATGAGAGGATTAAAAAGAATGTGGAAAGTATCGTTACTATTAGACCTAAAATAGGGATAATAGCAATCGCCAGAGTAAACACATTAGCTTAATATCAAACAATTCAGGATAAGCATCTTGCATCCATTTGGGTATTAGTGAATATAACGTATTAATTGTGAATCTGCAAGTTTAGCTAAACCACTCTGCAAGATTTCTGGGTGGCTATCTAGTCTGAATTGTTCTTTTAACCCACAGACAATACTAGATCATTTTAAAGACAAGGCAGATCAAGTTGAACAGTTAAAAGCAAAACATGTTTATACCGTAGTGATGTTGTTGCCCCTCAGCTTTCTGAGAAATGGACAGGCTAGAACTTTGAATTCCTTCACAATGGCAGTCAATTTTTTCTTCGAGCTCACATCAGAAAGCATGATATTGCCCTGGAAAGATACAGTTAGGGCAGGGGCATCTGCCTTTGTTAAGTTGGCCACAAATACAATTTCAGGATCCATGATCAATGCTTTCACTTTTAATTTCTGGGGGGCTGCCTGTTCTAAAGAAAAAGGAACAAAAAAAGTTACATTGCAGAATAAACATAAAAAATACACAGAAGCTCATGAAAAGTTTTTGATTAAAAAAACATTCAAACAACATTTGCAAGGAACAAACTTGCAAGGTGCGAAACAGGTTCCTGGAAATTTTAATGGATGAGTGCCATGTCCAAAATTTAACAGATAGAAAATTTCTAAAATGTGTTACAAAATATACATTATATCTGGTGTCGTTCTCACTTATTTTCAGTGAAGTAAAATATGGAATCGGCAACTAATGTGATAACAAAAATGGCTAACATGTTGATCACCGTTAGGAGCTAGAGAGTTTTAAATAATATTTTGAAGACAAAATACGGTTCTTGAACACAGAAAAGAGCTAATTGATCTATTTTAGGTTCATTTCAAGAAATGTATGTTGTTGAAAGTAATTTTTTGTACCAAAGCAGTTACACGGTTTAATGTTAACTTATTTATTAAAGTGAAGAAACTCGGCTAAACAAAGCGCATTAAGAAGAACACATTCTATTAATAGTTTATTAACCTTAATTATTCAAACACTTTATCACCCACAAGTTTCAGTGTAGATAGAACACTGCAATAATTCTATCCTTCTTTCTGAGTACATGCCTAGTATAAATCCAATGTTGTGAAATCATGACGAAATAAGGTTACTAGGTTTCACGAAACAGGTATGGAAGGGGTTGTTCTGTTCCTCAGAAGTCCTAATTAAATCTGCCAGAGTGCGCTTGACATCAGGAGTATTATTACAGGAAGTATCTAGGTCACTAATTATTGTTTACTATTATGAAACATCATCACATGATCAGGAATTAGCGGAAGCCACATCAAGGTTTGCTGTGTATTAAAAGGGTTCATAAAAGAGTGACATCTGTTGCAAACATTGCACCTTCACAAATCCAGCCACCTGTGTCACTAGACATATTTGACAAAGCAGCCCTTGTGCTAAATGTAGACCACTGACAAACCCTAGCACTTTTTGTGTTACCTTACACCATCAGCTAAACACCCACATTCAAAACCACCAACTCTAGACATACACTTCCTTTGCAATAAATTGCTGCAAAACTTCACATGATATAAAAATGTTATTTGCACAACTCAAAATTACCAAAATGCTTTGGATGCACAAGACATCAGGTTTATAGTTTAGTAAGAAAAGGTGGTAGTTATTATTTATTAATTAAAAAAGCAACAGAGAGATTGAGGTCGACTACTTTAATGGGGAAGAAGCTAGGACCAACAAAGTAGAATCTATTGTGAACTTAACAGAAGCAAAAATAGAGACCGGTTGAAATGGGTTACAAAGGTTGTGTTAAGCAGTTGGTGGGTAAAAGCCCTGTACTTTTTTAATAACATCGTTTCTTTTTTTGTATTTGCATAGAAATATTATCAAGGTGTTGCATATCTGAATAAAACAGAAAGGCAGCAAACTTTGACAGCAGCACTGATCACTGCATGAAGTTTACGGTTACATCACATATTAAAACCTGAAGGCTACACAAGTAGATTACATGCCCTGGGTGGTAAAAAGTCCCAGGGGCCAAATTTACCACTAGGCCTTCAAGTCCTAGGTGAAAGGGATTGTGGTGAGCATAGATATAAATCCACCACCTCCTACCAAAAAGCCTGTATATTAGGGCAATCCCAAATAATGTGTAGGAAATCTGCCTGATACTGGGGGCATCTACAACACTTAACCCCTTCATGACTGAGGCCTTTTTTTCATTTTTTTGTACCCATGTTATATTCCACATTTTAGGCCTGAAAATTACTTAAAACCCCCCAACATTATATATTTTCTGAATGCCAAGACCCTATAGAATAAAATGGTGGTAGTTGCAAATTTTTATGTTGCGCAATATTAGCGCAACTCCTTATTAAACCCCAATATTTAGTGAAAAATTTAATTAAATGCCCCAAAACACAACAAAATACCCATTTTTTTAATAAGGAGGGATAGATTTGGGCAACTTTGGCTGGCATGAAATATATTTGATGCAAGAATTTGTAATGGCTGAATTGATCCCTATAAATATAGAGCAATATGAGAGGAAACTTAATTTCAACAAAATTGATTGACAAGGGGAGATTCTTAAAGGCATATAATTTCAATATATTTTTGAGGCGTACGAGGAGTGGATAGACATTTCAAAGGGATGAAATCCAGCACTGATTTAGTTATCTAAAGGCCAAGGTATTTTATCCTGGAGACTAATTTTAATGGGACAGAGGGCTGAGGATCTAAAGGGCCTGGAGGGTCTGAGACATCCCCAGCTGACTTCCAGCCCAGAAATAAGGAATCATTTGTTTAAAATAGGTAATGTTTCCTGCAGGGATAGGATAAATAGGGGAGAGGTGCAGAGGGCTAGGGCAATGGGTTTTCCTATTAAGGCAAAAAGGCCAGGAACAGAAGACATCTATGCCTTGTACCGCTACAAATGGAGAACTTGTGGGACAGGGTTTTGCCAATATTTATAGCTGCTAGTGCATGCCTTTATAGTATGCTGATCAAGGAAATTGGGCCCAAAACTATTTTTTTCCAAGACTACTTACATATATAGTCCCAATCTACAGAATTGAAATGTCCAATGATACCAGTGCCCTCTGACAATGTTTGCTACGACCATGTGGGGTAACAATCATTCTAAAGTTAGCATCAGTTGACTTATGTTATATAAATCCTGTTTGGTCAGGTAAAACCAGAAAAATTAAAAACCATAGAGAGCCTTGTTGCTAACAATCTTTAGATCCATAGTGCTATATGTCTGTACGAGGCACATGGTAATGGATATTTGTCTGGTTCCCCAATCAATAATACATGAGCATCTTACAGGGATGGGAGGGGAATATCTTGAGTAAGGCAGGCTCAGTACAATGATTGCAGTCTAGGGGTTTGCTCTTTTTTTGAACCATTCCGTTAGCAGACCATCAGGGCCATGTGATTTATTATTAAGGAAAGCGTGTACAGATATAGCTGGTATGATCACATTCTCAGCGCATGCTGCCCCTAGTAATAAATCATTATTGGCACAATTGAGGTCATTCCGCAAGGAGCAACCTAAAACATGCCATACATAGAAGGTTTGCTTGCGTTGTGGATGTTTTCACCTCCGGAGTTCAGTCAAAATAAACACTTCTAACCCCAACAGATTGCGAAATCTGAAATTGCAGCTCTGGGTGTATAATTCTAACTTGTAATCTAGGATATTTCATAAGTCACCCGCAGTAAAAACCCTCATGGGCATGAATGGGGCAAGTTTCTCCGAGAGAGAATATAAAGCCAAGGAAAGGAGGCAGGATGTAAACTTGCACTAGCAACAGCGTATGAGAAGCGGTATTGAGACCCAGCTAGCATATGAAGAAAATGTGGCACGTAAGGCTCTTTGAATCTACTACCTCTTCAAAGAGAGACTTTTATTACCCAAAGATGGTGTTTTTTTTTCTCTCTCTATTGGTTGAGCTCAATGGACTTGTCTCTTTTTTCAACCTGGCTAAATATGTAACAAAAAAACGACCTATTTGTATATTTCACTGTACTTTTTGCATCACAGCCCTACTGCGGTCCTACCCAAACTCACCGGCAATATAAAACAATGTCTAAAACCGGTTAAATCACTGTATCTACTGGATGGAAAGCTGAACTTCCAAATGTATGCAAAATGTTGCACCCGTCAATCCCTGGGGTGGTTATTTGCTTCACAAATGATTTTTTCCTTGAAATTGCGGTCATAGAAAAAGTTTAAAAAACTTGGTCTATGTGGGAATTATTTTTCAAGTACAGCATGAAGCAAAATGATTCATAAAGGAAATAAACAAACAACACGGATCAACCCTGTAACCCACTTTAAAGTGAAACTATATTTATAGTTTTTTTTAAAATGTATGTTTTACATTTATTACTAGTTGCTTAAAAGTAGTAATAAAACTCTCAAACTTTTTTTCAATAATGAATCCAGATCAAACAAATATACATTACATAGCTTTACATTTTTGCCAGTGACAGTAAAGTCAATAGGTTTTTAAGCAATTAAAAATGCTGATTAAATCACTTACAATGGATGCTGCTTCTTGATGTTGACAAATTTAATTTTATACTACAGAAAGAGCTTGTCCCCTGAGCACTGACCCCGATATCTTGTTTTAGGGTGGTCCTATGGAGCCACCCTTGTCCTAGTAAGCGGTGTGTCTCCATAAAAATACAGGCTCAGCAAGGCAAGCCAATTCCCTGTTCTCTGCTCCCCTCTCCATGCTAGCAGATGGGCGGCTGCTGGAGACTGCACTTTCCATTGTGATCTTGTACTGGACAGAAACTTCAGGAACTTCAGGAAAGCTGAGCTGAGATAACTGGAGCCAGCAGTTTGAAAACATGATGACTGAGTGTTTGGACAAAAATGTAAAGAAATACTTCCCTGGGCAGTGTATACATGTTTGATCTGGATTCAATCTTGAAAAAAAATTACAGTTTATTACTACTATAATGTTTAAAATATGTTTGTATTATGTTTCAAACTAGAAAACTAAAATATTCATCATTTTAAAAGGATTTTTACCTTCAAAAACAGAATATTGCATATGAGTAGATCATATTTACCACGTGCAACATTTAAAACTTCAGTTTACAAACTTGTGAACCTCCAAACAATACTAAGTGTCCTTTAAATGAGAGTTCCAGTCAATATAAATAATACCAGTATACTGAAATAATATCAGGGTAGTGCAGATTAGCAATATTTACTAATGTATTAGCTCAGAGGCGTCCCCAAGCAGGGTGTGACCCGGAATGGCCACCGGGTGTCACCCCCGTTAGGACGTCAACACGCATGCTCGTAAGGAAGTCATGCGCAGTTAACTGCTGGCGGCCATCTTGGTGATGGATGCCGGCAGAGAGAGGAGGGGACGTTTGTCCTGCAGGATAAGGTATGCCGCCGGGTCTCCTCCTCTCTTGTACTGCTGTCGGGCACTTGGTCAATGACCGAGTGCCCGACTTTTCAGAGAGGGTGACATCAGAATGACTGAGTCATTTTGGCGTCACCCAGTGTGGGCGGCAGTCCCCGCACCCCCCTTGTGACACCACTGTATTAGCTTGTTTTGCAGGAAATGGCTAGTTTGTTTCAACAATAACCAGATGCACAGTACCATGCCAAAATGATAACCTTGCATCTGCAGGGCTCAGGCTTTAGGCCTGGTTCACACCTGGACGTTTTACAGCACATTCCTACGCGCTGTAAAACGCTCAACATGTGAAAACCAATAATTGCCTACGTGCATGGTTCCCACCTGGGCGTTTTACAGCGCGGTAAAACGCCCAACGCCCAAAGTAGTACAGGATCTTCTTTGGGGTGTATTTGCCGCGCGTATCTATTAGGAAACAGCCGGATACCCCTCGGAAACGCGCGTTTGTGGCACTTTTCTTTTAAATCGAGGTGCAAACGCGCATATTCCGTACGCCCAGGTGTGAACCCAGCCTTACTGTTCATTGATAACTTTGAAAAATGAAAGACAAGCATTAAGTGAAACAATAAAATACATAATACTACATTATGTCATTTTTTAAAGTTCCTGACCAGGAAACATACCTTCCTTCTCTGTTTTGGGCTTGGCAAGAGTGGATTGTTTGGGTTGGCTGTGTATATGTTTATCTGTGTTCGGACTCTGAGGCATGGCCTTAATGAAGAAATCACCAACAGTCATCAAGAATTCCACACTGGCACAAACATACAGCTTCTCCATGATGGCGGAGATTGATCGTTCCTCTCCGCTTTGTTTGTATTCTATATCAATCATATTGCGTGAGCTGGAGGAATCTTTTTGGTCAATCATTCTAGTAAAGAAAAAATAATATTTTCATGACTGCCCAGTCACAAGAAAGTGTTATTCAAAAAGAGATGTTAGTGTTAGGATTTATTTTATGTCTATGAGTGCACATGTTGCTTGTGTCACAATGCTTTAGTTGTGTTCTCCTCAGGGCAAACACACCAGACCCGTAAATGTAGAGTAAACCATATTCTATAAACGATATAGTTGAAATTCAGATATGTTCCTTGAATCTATGACCACTTTGACCTAGCCAGGTTACTCTGTGCACTGCCACAACATTTAGTCAGCTTTGTTTCACCCTGTAGAGAACATGAATGTGAAACTAAATTGATACATTCACAAGGGCAGTTATAAGTAAGCCCAAAAAGCATGTAAATAAAGGAATTTTTCAACTGGGTGTTAAAAAAGCAGATTTAACAAAATCAAAACTGAGAGTAAAAGAACTGATCTGATCTATGCTGGAATGAAGAATACAAATGACAAACCTGGAGGTGGCCCTGGTAACACCTTCCCTGAGGTCATCAAGAGTGCAGGTCTTGAGACAAATGGAAAAGTCCATTGAGCTATCAGCACACATCATTCCTGAGGATGACAGACAATGCAGTCTCAATTCTCCCAGACGCAGACTTTCATGATGCAGCCATTCAGAAGCCACCTGCAACACAACAAAATATTAATAGTCACAGAAGTGTAAAAGAGTAATAAGAAGACTATGGTGGACTCAGTCAAATCTTAACACCAATGTGAGTAGTCAGACATACTGTAACTGTTCAGTGGGAACACTAACTAGATCAAAGCGTTGAATATATTGTTGAATATATTGTTGAATATATTAATACATATAGACCCATTATTAATAAAAAATAAACTCATCAGAAAACAGTTTAGTGGCTTACATTTAATTTAAATGCAAAAGAAACAAGAAGAGAGTCAAGTACTAATATATGGATCCCTGTTACTTATACCACTGGATGCTATGCTGTGAGACAAGAACTAATGGTGGTACAAGGAAAGCCTGAGATTATTAAGGAGACATATGATGCCCCTGAGCCTCTCTGTACAGCTGTGTGACCCTGTCTTGCAGGAGGCAACACTCTAGTGACAACAGGCAGTCATGACAGAAAAACGAAAAGTTAGAAAAGCAGAACTGAAGTGTCCTTTGACATGTGCTCCAGCAGCCTCCTTGCGCCTCTTTTAGCCACTGTTTTGACAGAATGCTGGATCTCTTAAAAGGGCAAAAAAGCCAGACACAGTGAGATAGTGAAAATGCATTAACCCCAACGAACTTGAATATGTTTCTACAAGCAGGAATCTAAAGTGTAAATAAAACTGTATACAACACCAAATAGACAAACTGAAAAAAGTGGAAGGTGGCAGCTGGAACCTTACCAATGGAAAGACACAGAAAATGCTCTAACAGCAGAATGATAGCATAGGCGGTATTTAGAAACTGCAATACTTGTGGTGATTACAGATTACACAGCACATTTTGGGAGATACTAACTAACACAAATTGCAGGCATACCCACCTTACTAGTGTCATTGTTGTAGAGCATGACAGAGAGAGATTCAAAATTAAAACCAAACTTCAACATGATAGCTGGAGTCTCATCACTGGAGACTTGAGGTGAAGCAGATGTTTTATGATCATCTAAAGCAAAAAATAAATACAATTTTATGGCACAAAGACAATGCAAAACTAAGTGCTATCAATTATACTGTAATTAAATATTAATTTAATTCTTTAGAATTAGTTATAACATAGCTGGACCATACAGATTCATATACATGTGTACTATACAAAATATGTTGAATCACCACAGAAACCAAGACACCACACCCCTAATATTCAAGTACAAACAATTCTTAATGGGGCTTTTAAAGTACCCAGGCTTGTCGCCCTTGTACATTTTCCATCCTAGGTGATGAAGGAGACTCCCCGGATGTGTGGATCCAATTACAACAAAGCTGCCCGACAATGGTATTCATGTATTGACTGTGTGATTGTTTACTTAAATCTTCAATGATTAGTGAGTGGAGTTTATAAAAAAAATATAATGATTGGTGTATTTACTTATCATGTGAACATTATAGGCTATATACATACATACAATGTATTTGTGAAGGTTCCAGGGAGGTTTGATGCCGTAGTATATGTAATATCATTAAGGGAGCCGCTAATTGACATGTTTTTAACACAAATTATCTTGTATGTACTTTTAACAAGTGGTTGTTTTTTCAATAAATTATACAACACACAGTATAATTTATGTGTTATTACAGATTTGGTTATGTCCCTCCACATTCTGAAGACCACACCTTAAAGCTCCATTAAGAAGGGTTTGTTGTTTGTACTCACTTACAGGTGTAGTCAAACTGAACATAGATCTATATGTGTGCTGGACATGTTTAGAGAGAAGTTTTGTAAATAAAACGGCTTTATACACAAAACTAATGGACATAGTTTTTCTTACAATTGCTAACTAAACAAAAAGGAACAGAGCAGAAAGGGGAAATATAAGATAAATACAAATCTACTTCTAAAAATAACTAATGTAAGATTGTTTAGCTAATATCCCTCAAAAGACTATAGCTAACTGTGGGAGTGGTGAACATATTTAGGTAGAACTCACATCCCAAGATAACTCAGGTAACTAAATACACAAACAGGGAAGATTGTAAATACAAGAAGCATGTGTATTCTTGCACAACTCTCACAAAAATTCAAGTACAGATCTGTACAATAATCCGATGTGAAACTTTGTTTCTGTGCAAAAACTTCCTGTAATAAAAACAGCTTTTGTTACTCTATGTGACATTATGACCAGGCTTTTAAACTTGTGCAGGGGCAGCTGCTAGGAGCCCAGTTTCTACTAATATAGGCACCACTTCACAACTATATCTCCCAAGAACCCATTCCCTACACACAGTACATGGGGAGACTCTTGAACGTTATGGTAGCGGCACTGTTTTGCTGGGAAATAAATAAATATGTACACATCAAATGGGATAGGCAGAGTTCTGTAGTCCAGCAGGTAAGACTAATAACGCTGAGCAGTAAAGGCACTGTATTGTCAACTCAAACAGGATGTTAGGAGCACAAATGATTCCTGGATGATCAGCAGATATTTATCTATACTTGGTAGCATTGTAAAGGGGTAAAACATGGGGAAATGTGCATGTATTGCAGAGATTACATTTTAATATCAAAATACATTAGTTCTCTCTTGCACTTAATTTAGTGTGCTTTATCAATCATACACCTGTTCTAGAATCACATTTACCTCTTTGTTTACTTATTGCACTTGTCTCTTTTAATACCCCTTCAACCTCTCCAGATGTTTGAGCTTTACTTTGCAGTGATGGTTTTTCTGACAAGTTTTCAAATAGGACATTCATAAGGACAGTAAGATCATCTTGGCTCAAAGCAACCTGGAAAGAAAATGAATGAATCAAATGAAAAGGTGCTCATGCATGTGTTTTTGTACTTTTAACCCATTACCTGCCAGCAATGTATCCCTTACAGTATTGGCTTTGGGCCCCTGCAAATAGTAAAGTATATATAAAGTATAGTAAAGTCGACTGTTGGCTTTACACTTGAAGCGATACTTGCGGCCAAGCTGCAGCCAGGTTGCTTTCACGGGTCACTAAAATTGTCGCCCCCACCCCACTGCAATTGTCCACGAGCACCGCTGCCACTCCTGTGGGCCCGGAACCGTCATCACGGGTGTCAGAGGGAAGTGGGGAGAGAGACTGGCGAACATCCATTCACTTATCTCCTCCACACTGAATGGAGTCGGAAGCTCGATCCGTGCTTGAACAGCTTCTTTGAAGTGGAAAGGTGACACAAGGAGTCTAATAGACCCCTAATATCACCGTAAATAGATTATGTCACCAATACCTAAGTGTATATAAACCATTATCATAAGTAACAACCCACACAGTACCTAAAAAGAAATATAGCACATTCCTTACACTAACAAAAATGTGACTTCCACATAATGCTACATAATTCCACATAATGCTAGAATCACACGTTGCATTACGCTACCATACCTGCATTGGTTTTAAATCTCCATCAATCTGAATGGCTGGTATCTGGGAATACCAAGAAGCAGCAAGATTCCTTTGTACAGATACAATTAGATTGACGGGCTGCAGTATCTCTAGCTCTGGCTGAGGAGACTCATTCTGAAGTACTGTCCTGCAAAGATAGAACGCCTTTCAAGCTAGGCTACAAAATCTTCCACAATAATTGGAAACCTTTAATATATTTTGACTAAGTAAACATTTTGAGTTATCATAGTAAAAATGATCTGTCTTTATTGTTGCAGAATGACTGCAAAGATAAAAACATTTAGCTGTATACATTTTACTATGTTTAATCAGTCTTAGGGTTGCTATAAATGGACAAATCAAGGTTGCTATAAATGGAAACTACTTTTCTTAAGAATGATGCGCATGGAAATTATTGCCCGACTTTGAATGTGTTACATGAGGGCTAGGACCAGCTGTGATATGTACTACTCTACCTGACATAAGGTATCAAGCCTGCTCAAACAAAATTGAAAAATCTCCAAAATACAGGTTGACCCTCGGGAGTTCAGGATGGGCCTAATAATCAAAAGAGATGCACTAAAAACATGAGCATAGCTTTTAATTATCAACTCGTCTATGGATACCCTAAGCTAATGTTAGTCATAGTGTTACACTGTAAAGACAAAACAAAATCATGAGTATAGAGAAACTAATTTTTTTTAACCCCATTGCATATTAATAATTATTTGACATTAAGCTGCTTACAATGGGGTACATATATAAACAAACAAAATATTAGAAGAACCGTTTCAGATGGGCGTCAGCAAAAACAGGCTGTTGGCCCTTTTCAATAGCTTTTATGTCGCACACTATGGTTGATGCACTAGACAGGATAAGTGAATCTCTTTGTTACACTGTCCTTT